GGCTGCGGCCGCGGCGGCGGTGGCCGTCTACCTGCTCGCGCCGCTGGCGATGTTCCTGCTGGCGCTCTTCGCTCTCCTGACCTGGCTTCGCTGGATGAAGAAGGGCTCGGGCGCTGGTGTGTCGAGCAAAACCAGAGGTTCGAGTACTGGCAGATGCTGCGACGCATGTGTACCAATGCCCAGGACGACGACGCGGACTCGGAGATGGCTGCATCTGAGCACGGCGGTCATCATCGTGATGAGCTGGAGGGCCTCAGGAAGCGCGCTCGAGAGGGAGCTCTTGAAGCCTCTCTCAGCAGGAGCGGATGGAGCGGCTGTTGGTCAAGCAAGCTCGATGCAAGGCCGCGAAGCGATTGCGTACCATTCGAGGTGGTGCAGCATCCAGCTTCGGGCGAGTGCTGCTGCTTGCTCTACCCCGTGTTGGCGGGGCAGTTCTGGCGGCGCTGCAGCGGCCCTGGCTGCTGCAGCTGGGGTGCCCGTTGACGCGAACGTGGCCGCCGACTCTCTCTCGGCGGCCGCTGCGCCTGCCGCCGCGGCGGCGTCGGCTTCTGCGCATTTTTTTTTTAAACGGGCGCACAGGTGGCCGCGGCGCTGCCACCTGTAGCGGCTGCTTGTTTCGCAAATTCACGTCGTGGAATGAGGTTGCTGTGTCGTTCGCTGTTAGCGTTCGATCCAGTTGTGATGGCATATATTTGGCAGAGCACCACCTTAACTCCGAGGGTGTGAAGCTGGCGAAGAGGAGAGAGCCCACCAGCTGAAATGTCGGCCCCGCTTCATCCCCGCTACCCCCTCCCCTGGAGGGGGGACGCGCGGTGGGGCGGGCGCCGTTGTTTCCCGAGGTTCAAGTTTTCAGCGTTTCCTGTTCACGGCTGTGTTTGTGACGGACCTTGGCTCTGGTCGCCTTCTGGTTGTTTTGGAGCTGAAAACCAAGCGGGTTGTGATGGCTGTAGGAGTTGCGTATTTGGTGTCGGGCCTGGGCGTTTGTGGAGAGAGCGTCGAACGACTGCGCGAAATCTCGGAGTTCTTGGGCGCGTTGTCGGTGCCGCGTCTTATGATGGAAGATTTCGGCGTTCCAGCTCGCGATTTGGATTTACTTGTTTTCCCTCGGTTCGCCCGTGGGCGCGTCGCGGTCCCGTCTCTGGTGGAGTTCACGTGCAGTCCGGGCCGTGGGTCGTTGATCGACCACGTCGCGGCCTCCGATGGTCTTGCCGGCTTTGCGCGCGTGGCCAAGTGCGCGCCTTCACCGTTCAAGACTCGCGCTCGCTTGCAGGTCTCGGTGGGTCATCGGGCGGCTGAGCAGAAAGTATGGAGACGAGTGGAACCTATTCCTTTTCGCGATGGTCCTGGTCCTGATTTGGCCTGGGAAGAGATTTTGGCTCGCATGAAGGATCCCGGGTCGCTGGGAACCCCGTCGTTTTATGAACGTGTTTTCCTATCCCATGTGCCGACCACTTCTCTGATAATGTTTCAAGGCAGCACTTGCTGTGGAGCCGCGCCGCTGAGGTGATTCGCTTGTCTCGCGCCTGCGCAGTCCGATGTGATTTTCCTGATCTTCGGCGCTTCAAGATTGGCAGGGGGGGTTCTGTGGCCAGCGCTTCCAGCTTCCAGCCTTGCGTGGGCTTGCGTTTCTCAGGTCCCGTGGGGGCATCGGCCGCGCACGGCCCGTAAATCTTGCGGCAAGATGTTTTGGTCAGGTCGAGCGTTGCGGAGTCTATCGGGTCGAGTCCACTCCCGGTAGCTCCCTGGCCTTCGTCGGCCCGCTGAGTGGTGGGTAGCTCAGTTAGCGGCTGTTCTCCTCCCTCCTCCCTCCTCCCTCCTCCCTCCTGCCTCCTGCCTCCTCCCTCCTCCCTCCTGCCTCCTCCCTCCTCCGTCCTCCCTCCTCCCTCCTCCCTCCTCCCTCCCTCCTCCCTCCCTCCCTCCCCCCTGGATTCTGTGGACGATCTCAACGTTTTTTTCGGCTCGGAGCTCACGCGGTCGGCCGGGCCTGGCATGCCGCTCGCGCGGCGTCCAAGGCCAGCATGGGGCATTGGCTCCTCGAGGCTTTGCCTCGAGGCGCCAGGCGGGTGCACTCGTGGCTGAAGTACGATCCAGGATCTGATCTTGAGCATCTCTTCGCACCCATCTCTGGGCCCCGTGGCCCTGGAGAGGTGTCTGGAGCTGCGCGGCTGTTTAAGGTTGACATTGCGGTGGGCATTGATTGTTGGGCCCCTCGCTGGTTGGCGCCCTTGCCTGGCTCTGCTGCGGGGGTCTACGCTGTTCTCCTCAATCAATGCGAGCGCTCAATGATGCGGCCGCCCAGATCACGATGGGCATCATTGCCCTGCTCTCCAAGGCTGCGGATGCGGAGCGCCCGATTTGCAAGCGCCCTTCCCTGTGCCGCCTGCATTGTCGGGCACGTGGCCGTGACGTTGACGAGCGGTCTCGAGAGCGTGCTAATTCTTTTTGGGCACCGCTATGCGTGGATTCTCTGCGTTGCAGGCGGCTCTCATTCGCGAGATAGGTCATGCGATGGCCAATTATCTGGGGGAGCTGGTTCTGGGTCTACTGGGATCTTAACACGTTTTGGTTTGCTTTGTTTGTCTTGATTTTTGACGCGGTTGATCTTCTTCGCCTTGCTGGTTTCGCTTTGTAAATGGCCTATCCTGTCCACCTTTTGTACTTGGTGGTTTTGATGCGCGAGGCGCCGCGTGTCCTGGAGGTCAACGGCTTCGCGTATGATGTTATTCCCACGGGGCGCGGGGTGCTCCGTGGATGTGGGGTCTATGCCGTGGGTCAAGATTTGTCTGTATGCTTTGATGGCCTTTGCACGCGCCCAGCATCGCCCTGTGTCCACTTGTGCTTGCGCGGGCGATGTCACCCAGACCCAGCAAGGTGCATGGTCATATATTGCCTGTAGTATTGTGCCTGCACCAGTGCACTTTTGTCATGAGCTCGAGCAGGCAGGTACAGGTACCTTCATCTCGGGTAAGAGTACCTTTGTTTGTTCTGATCGTCGGCTGCGAGGTCATCTCACCACCCTTTTCCGCGCTGCTAGCTTACTTATCAAGGTGGCTGATGGGGCGCGAGCTTTGGGGGCCATGACCGCTGCGGGCAGGAGTCGCTGCGTTTTTAAGTTGCGCCGACGGCGCGCTATGGCCAGGCGAAGGGCCATGAGGGCCCGTTTTCGCACTTGCCTGGTGGGGGGAGCCCGCAAGCTTTACAAATCTGCTGCGTTGGCGGTTGGGTCGCGGGGCCATGAATTTTTCGCCCCCCCCCTGCTCCGGTCCAGTCGACGCGGGCCCGGGCGGCCACGCGCTCGGGGTGGTGGGGCCCTGGGGCCTGCACCACTACTGTTCTGAGTCTTGTTAGTCCTTCTAATGATGACCCCCAGTTTAGGCTTCGGTATGAGCAGTCGAACTCGTTCGCCTCGATTTGGAAACGGTTGCGCCTCAAACGAGCAGTTCGAGTCGCACAAGTTTGGGAGATAGTTGCGGACAAATTCGCGTGCACCCATGCTCTTCTGGTGCCAGCGAGGGGCCTTGTTCCTCATTTAGCGATCTTTAGTTCAGCAGCCCGACTGTGCAGTGAGCGGCTAGAATAAGGAACATTTGCTTTTCAACTGGGTCTCGGTCGTTCCTTAGGTATCATGCGTTACTTATCGCTTTTATGCGTTACTCCTTGGAAAAAGGGGGCTTCGTTCCTGATTCATTGTTCCTTAGGTCAGGCCGATGACTGTAAGGCGATGGAGGCCCCATGGGTATGGGTGCGAGTTGTCGGACCCCGAGGGGGGCTCCCGTTCGAGCGGGGGCACCCATCCGACCACGCACCCACAGCGCCCCTCCCCCAGAAACCCATCCGAGGAGTTCGAAGGGACGTGCAGGTAAGCGACGGCAGAAAACGGGGCCGTCTTCACCGACATCGGCGCGTCAGCTGCCCGCGTAAGGGTGGCGCGCGAGCGCCCTCGTCTCCGCTGTGGCGTGCCGCGCCAGCGGCCCGCGTCGGCCACCGCGGAAGGTCGCCGTACCACCTCGCGCGGGAGCGTTTTTATTTGCGTCGCTCGGGTGTTGGTTGCACAGCGGCTGGCCGCACCGGCCATTCGTGTCGACGACCTTCGTGCTGCGAGTGCCCTCCCCCCCTGGCGCCTGTGCGGCCTCCCGTGCCGGGCGGCCGCCCCGAGAGCCCTGCTGGCGCGCCCCGAGGCCGGCTCGAGGGCGCCGCGGCGGAGCCAGCCCGATGGGCTCGAGGGGGGCGGCGGGGGATCATTTGCGCGCCATTTCCCAGTGCTTCCTCCTCCTCCTCCTCCTTCTCCTCCCCCTCCCCCTCCTCCTTTTGCCCCTCCTCCTCCTCCTCCTCCTCCTCCTTTTGCCCCTCCCTTTGCCCCTCCTCCTCCTCCTCCTCCTCCTCCTCCTCCTCGTCCCCAGAGAGGGACGGGCCCGCTCGGCAGGAGCGAGAGCAGGCCCACGCCGCCAGGAGAAGGGGGATGGGGCGGGCGGAGGGAGCGAGGCGGAGCCCTGCGCGGCGGAGGAGAGAACGGGGGCCCCGTCCTGCGGCACGGGCGAGAGAGAGGTCGGGGGGTGCTCGCCCCCGCTGCTGTCGCAGGTGGTCGGGCGGCATCGAAAGCCCGCCCCCTCCTGGTGCCTTGTGCCCCTTGCCCTTGCCCTTGCCCTCCTCCTCCTCCTCCTCCTCCTCCTCCTCCTCCTCCTCCTCCTCCTCCTTGGCATCTCCCTCTTCTCCGATAATTCGCCTCGCGATTTTCGCCTCGCGTTCAATCAGTCTATTATCTCGTCGAGTCGCGCCTGCTCGCCAGTTTCCGCCTGCCCTGGCCTGTCTTTTTCCCCGCCTCGGCGCACTCGAACCCGAGTTGGTGGTGCCTCCTCGTCGTCCTCCTTCTCCTCCTCCTCCTCCTCCTCCTCCTCCTCCTCCTCCTCCTCCTCCTCCTCCTCCTCCTTGGCATCCCTCTCCTTGCTCCTCCTCCTTGGCCTGCTGCCTCTCCCCGCCCTCTTGCTCGCTGCGCGCCCGCCCGGGCGCAAGGCCCCCGCCGCCGCTCCCCAGGGCAGCGCCCAGGGCCCGCCGCCGGCGGCCGCGGCGCCGCCGCCGCAGGAGCGTGCCCGGAGGAGCCCCGCCCGCCCCAACGCGCGCTGCCCCCTCTGGCGGAGGAGGAGGAAGAGGCTGGGGGCGTTCTCCTCCTCGGCCCCCGAGGGGGGGGGGGCTGAGGATGGGGACTCCTCCTCCTCCTCCTCCTCCTCCTCCTCCTCCTCCTCCTCCTCCTCGGCCAGCCTTCTCGGCCTCCCAACGCGCGCCCGCCCAAAATCGGGAGCCTCGAGACGGGGGTCAGTGCAGACGGGGGTCAGCCAGGGCGCCGGATCCTGCAGGATCCTGCGAAGACCCCCTCTGGCTGGCCCGGGTTAGGGAGCCGCTCGTGGCCGCGAGGCGGCCGCGCCCATTGGCTGGCCTGGCCCGGGTCTGCGAAGACCTGCGGTGCAGTTTTTTTTTTCCTGCATTACAGTTTTTGGTTTCCTGCTGACCCGGGCCTGGATTGACCCGGGTCAGAAGATCCCCGACAAAAGCGCGCTGCCCCAGGTCTTGGACTAACTCGGCCAGCCTTCTTGGCCTCCCAACGCGCGCGCGCGCTTCGGCGGCGGCACGGGGGCGGCTCGCCGGCGCCGATGCCAGAGAGTGTTTCTCCTCTCTGTCCCTCGGGTGGGCTTGTGGACTCGTGGCGCTGGCGGCGCGGCGGATCCGAATTCGCGGCGTTGGCGGCGCGGCGTATTGCGCAGCTCCCAAGGTGCCCGACTGAGTCAGGGGTATCCTCCGGGCGCTTTGCGGCAGCGCTGATTGCCAGAGCTTGCTCGTCAAAAAAAACACCCGTGCGCCCGCAGAGGGGGGCGGGGTGGTGGAGGACGAGGAGGAATGTGAGGAGGGCGAGGGGGGCAAGGCGGAGGGGGACGATGGTGAAGTGGATGATGATGATGATGATGATGATGATGATGATGATGATGATGATGATGATGATGATGATGATGATGATGATGATGATGATGATGATGATGATTGATGCTGATGCTGATGCTGATGCTGATGCTGATGCTGATGCTGATGCTGATGATGCTGATGCTGATGATGATGATGATGATGATGATGATGATGATGATGATGATGATGATGATGATGGTGATGGTGATGGTGATGGTGATGAGGATGAGGATGAGGATGAGGATGAGGATGAGGATGAGGATGATGATGATGATGAGGAGGATGATGATTTTGATAATGATGATGCTGATGTGATGATGATGATGATGATGATGATGATGTGGATGACTGCGAGGTGGATGCTGGCGAAGATGGGGAAAGCTGATGTTGATTGGTGATGGTGCGGATGCTGATGGTGATGGTGATGTGGTTGCTGGTGGCGGTGGTGATGGCGACAACGAACGCGGTGAATCTATCATGACGATCACAGCTATGATGAAGATACTGATGACGGTGATCATGACGACGATGATGTCCATGACGATCGGGGCGGTGGTGGTGGTGGTTGTATTTATGAGCGTGATGGTGATGGCGGTGATGATGACGGTGGTGGTGACGATGATGATGATACAGCTTACTGTAGTGCGGGTGATGGTGGTGATGGCGGCGACGCGGCGATGCATGGGATGCTGATGTTGGTGATGATGATGGCGTTGTTGCTGATGGTGGTGATGACGGCACCGATGATGGTGATCATTACGTGGATGATCATTTTAATGCTGCGTCGGATGATGATTATCATGGTGACGATTATGATGACGATGAGGTTCAGGTTGAGGATGGTGATGGTGATGACGAGGCTGGTGATGGTGGTGGTGGTGATGATGATGACGAAGTCGAAGACGATGATGATGGTGATGAGGAGGAGGATGATGATGAGGAGGAGCAACCAGATCATGATGACGATGATGCTGTTGATGCTGGCGGTGTTCGTAATAGTAAAAGGGAAGTGTTGAAATCGAAACGAGGGGGTGTTGAGGAGGACGAGCATGAAGAATCCACGGAGGGGAACATGAGCACAGGAATACGAACGGATGGGGAAGAAGGAGGGGGAGTGAGTAGGAGGAGGAGGAGGACGAGGAGGAGGAGGAGGAGGAAGAGGGAGAGGGAGAATGGCAGCATGAGGAGGCGGGAGGAGGAGGTGGGTACGGAAAAGGGGAAAGCTGAGGATTATGATGATGATGATGTTGATGCTAACTGTGGCGATTATGATGATGATGATGATGATGATGATGATGATGATGATGATGATGATGATGATGATGATGATGATGCTGGTGTTGCTGCTGCTGATGATGACGACGATGATGCTGATGCTGATGGGAATGTTGCCGATGATGATGAGAATGGTGGCGGTGGTGGTGGTGGTCGTGATGAGGGTGACGATGACAATGACGATGGCGATGCTGTTGATGATGATGATGATGATGATGAGGATGATGATGACGATGCTATTGATTCTGATGATGTCGACGTTGTTGATGAGGATGTTGATGATGGTGATGAAGGCGGTGGTTCCATGGTTATGATTGTGCAGGTGGTGCTGCTGCTGATGATGATGAGGATGATGATGATGTTGCTGGTGATGTTGGGTATGATGAAGACGACGCCGATGCTG